CATTATTCTTCTACATTTCTGTTCTTGTCAGCATTCACTTAAGATGCATTTTATAGTCATAGTGCAAGAAAATGTGAATGGGCAACTTCTTCATATAGTGTTAGAGGCCCAGATTGGCAGCAGTATATGTGATATGACTGTGGTGTCATCGGGGAGTTTTCTTCCTAGTTAAGATTCAGCAGTGTGCCTCTGAGATACACCTGTCAACTTTTCAGGTGCAACAGGAAAAAACAATCTGATTTAGTGTATTTGTGTGTGTGTGTGGTACAAATATATTAATGAACAGGACTTTTTCCTTTTTCTCCATAATAAAGAACTATGAAAATATGTGATCCCTGGCTGCTATAAGGTAACCATTTCTTGCCTGCACATTTGTAACAAAAGAGAGGGGATGGCTATGTTTACCTTCTAGAGATTGTGGTTTTTTAATACATTTTTATATATTTATGCTTGTGCATATAACAATCTATATACATATATATTAGATACGTAAACATGTTTAATATGTAAAACTATCTCTAGTGCATCAGTTTTATTTCTTTAAGAAAAAGAGGAAAGCATTGTTACTTCTCCAGTGATGACCCTCTCATGAGATCAATTTTTAAATAATTGAGAGCTAAAGGAATTGTTGTATTAGTGTTTTCACACTGTTATGCTGTGGTGGCACTTTTTTGTATTTAGGCCTTGTCTTTACCGCTAAGTTGATTCCACATAGGGTGAGAGTGTTGCACCCTCTCCTGTTAGCCTGCTCCTACTTTTGTCTGCCATCAAAAAATAAACAGTAGCATGAAAAAAAAACAGGGCTTGGTTTGCTTTTGAGGGCAGAAAACTGTTCCCTAGAGATTACATCAGCAACTATATTTTAATGAGGGGAAAGTTATTAAATAAACAAAGACAGTTTGCTAATTTTGTTACTTGCGTTACAAATGGGACAGAGGAGGGAAACTCTTCTGTACAACTGTTATATCAACATAGCTTAGAAAGCGATGGTAAAAGTACTGTTACAAGGGTCTGTAGCCATACTGCATTGATTTACATAAGAACATACCCTGATTGCAGTTAGAAAGATGATGTTTCTGTGTGCTAGAGACTCAATCAATATATGTCACCCCCTGTGCAAAACGTGCTAAGATTCCTTCAGAGGCTGAGACCTATACTGTTGTCTTTCCTTCTCACATGTCTATCCTGCTAAGAGCTATTACAAGCCAGATTTCTTGGAATTTTGACTTTGCATTTGTTTGCTGAAGCTGTGGACATTCTTATTCTGCTCCACCCACGTGGGTGTACACTTGGGCTGTACTTTGCCTTTGGGGCATTGCCTTTCCTCAGGTCTGCTGCCTGGCTACTTACCTGAGTAATTTTAGGGCATTCACACTGAAATTTGTCAGTGAGTCCTCACCCAAGCAGGTAGCTAGTAGTTCAGAGACTGTCAGGTTTGGCAGGAAGATAAGGATGAGTGTTCAGTGGCAATGAGAAAAAGTATCTTCATCAGGGCTCAGCAGGATTTGTTAGAGATCGCAGGCTATACACCATGTAATTACAATTCTGTAAAGTACAGGGGAAAAGAGATGCCTGGACACCTTTATACTGAAGAGCCAACACAACTAAGGAGGGAGAAATGTGGTGATTATTGAAGTAGACATCCATTTGGAATTTATACAGAGCTGTCAAGGAAAGATGCCATCATACTTTTCAGAGCAGAACTATGCACTCTAAAATGAGTGAGGCAAATTAGAATAATTTTTTTAAAACCTGTTCAACTTACTTTTTGCCCGGCAAAAATAGAAGCAGTCACTTCTACCTCAGCTCAGAGCTGCAAAGTAAAATGTCTGTATGGATAAAAAACCCAAAACATGCCACATACCTTCAAAAGTTGAAGAAGATCTTCCAGTAATATTTTGCAAGTAGTACCAATAGGTCTGCAAGATCTACTCCACTGATACTTTGTTATCTCGGAGAAATCCTCTCCTACTTGCTTTTTTCCCCAATAGCAAAGAAAGATTCCATGAAGTGACTTATTCCTGTGATTGCTGCTTTCCCACAACAAAGTAAAAGCACTCTTTCCATATGAACACACAAACACCTAATAACCAGGGAATGGTTGGTTACAGGATGGGTCAGTAACTATTCAGTCATTTCTTTTTCATCATTTGTAGTATCACATTTGCTGATAAATCCCATTCTGAAGCCCTAAGCCTTATCCCGGATTCAGGCAGAAGGCAATAATAAGTTTTTCAGTTCACAAGAAACAGCTGATACCATGTAGACTTGTACTAAATCTTTGAATAAGGACAAATTGTCAGGTTTTGACTTGTAAGATTAAAAAGCCCATAGTTTTGCAGGCAAATTTAAACATCATATAACTTGGAAAGAGCTGAAAAGCAACTTTTATATTTCTATTTATTGTCTTCTCCTGATGGCAAAGTGGTTCTTTATTGCACATTCTTTCCTGCAGAATACAATTGCGATGTGTTACTTAAAAGGGGTAAACAAAATTTTGGGTAACAAGGTTGCTGAACAAATGGTAGAACCTTTTTCCCCAAGAGCTTCCTGTGATTAATGAAAATACCCTGACACTGACCTATGCACTGGCTTCCAGCCACCTACCAGAAGAGTAAATGCCATGTGGTGTACAAGCTACAAACATGCATGATGAGAAAAGAACACAATAGGTAGCCACTTCAGTCTCTAATCTGGGAGAATGATCCACATGGACGTTTGCTGCTGAAGAGCTTTCTTTAGACTTGGCGTCTGTGAGGACACTGTAAGAAGGCTGTTTTGGTTTTGAGGGTTAATGAGTGTCTGTGTAGATACCGGTGCAGTCCTTCTGCTGAGGCAGTGGATGTTTATAGATGCGAATTTTTCAGCAGCTATAAATGGAAGGTCTGTTTGTTTTGTCTAAACCACATGGGAAAGGCTTGATCATAACGTTAGAAATTCAAGGCTAATGGCTTAAAAAAAAATCCTTACGTTTCAAAGTTCAGCTTAAAATGCCATGGCATAGCTTCTGGAAGGGAGGCACCAGAGCAGGCAAGCTGCAGCAGCCCAGCAAAGGCTGACAGCACAGCACTGGTGGCTCTGCACTCTCTGAAATGCCTGCACGCCTGTGGTTTACTAAGGAAGCAGCTCACACATAAATCTGTGTTTTTATTGCGTTTGAGTCAAGAGGTGCAGCAGTAGATAATGTCACCTGTTGGCACAGGGTCAGCAAACAGCAGCTCGTACCTTTCTTCTACAAAGCCGTCTGCCCCAGCTGAATATGATTGACTGAGAAGTCACGTACTCAGTCTCATCTATCTCCCCAGTTGGGGGAGAAAAAAAAATGCAATTCAGGTTTCAGCATTTTTGTAATCCCTCTGAGCCTCCCATTAAATTTGCTCTACTGTGTGGGAAAGGATTAAAGATTCTTTGGGCTCCAAAACACAGTATACAAAAATTAAGTACTACAGCATGGTTTGTGGTAAGGCAGCAACTAAAGTGTATAGCGTGACACATAACCCAGAGCAGTGAGTTCTCTTTGACAAGTAACACTTGTTGACAGCTTAAAATTTGTGTTGGTAACACATGCCACAGTTGTGTATGGCCTTTGTTTTAAATATTCCATATGCAACATACTTCATAAGTAATTTCAAAAATAATCAGAGTTGTTCATATGCTGTTAGTAACTTAGAGTGCCAAAAGAGGGGAATATTTTTTGGCAAGGAAAACTTCTGTTCCTTTGGAGCAGCTCATAAATGCTCCCTTGTAATAAATATTTCAAGACTAAAATCAATGTGTTACAAGTTTCAGACAAGGCTGTGTATCAAGATGAAATAGTTCATTTCCTAAAAGGCAATATTATTCACATTCTATATGAGTGTGGGCATAGATGAGAAATTTCTATTTAAGAGTAGCCAGGATTTTTTTCCCCACAAAAATGGTAAATGGAAACTGCCAAAAAAATTCCTTCCCTAATTTTTTACTACTTTGAGAGCCTGACTTGCTGTCAGACTTAATTTGAACAGTATTAAATTCTACTAAATATGTTGTGCTTAGTGTAATTAAGCATCTAGCTTTTTTTGTCCTAACCCCATAATTAAATATATGAATTTTTTGTGAAAAGGACACAGAGCTACTGTGTACCCAGGCCTTAGGGAGAAAGCAGGGGCAAGAAAGGGCATAATAGATATTAAAAATTAGACTCCAGAATTCATATTTTTAAAAATAAATGTTGCCTTCTCCTGCTTTCATTACCCTACATGCATGAAACATCTTCCTTCCACATCTCAGCTGCTAAGCAAAGAGCTGTCTGTGACAACTGCTAACTGCACACCCGACTACAATTTACTAATGTTATGAGGCAGACTCGAAAGTACTAAAGAACAAGAGGAATCAAAGCTGCATTTTTGTCATTTTTCATTTCCTTGTTGCACTAGAAAGCACAAATACAGAAGGTCTGAATACCATCTCATGAACAAGAGGTAGTTCCAGTGTGTGTAAAATGCTACTGCTGAACTAACAACTGTTTAACTGTTTTCATCATTTCTAAGGCAAATTAAATTAGGGTTCCAAAGGAACTGAAAAATAATACCACGCCACACAATTTATATCTAGGCTCTCCACCCAAAAAACATAAAAAATATCTGCTGACTATATCCATATTTTGATTTTTCGTTATATTCTTCTTTTCATTTTTCTAAACACAGAACCTGCTTGCTTTTCCTCTGTAATAACTTCTAATGTTATTTTTTAATATAAGACTTTGAACAGTATTCCTCAATGTCATTAGTTCAAGATTTTATATATGCAGGTATTTTATGTATAGGTTATTTTTCTCAAGGTCTAGACAACTGTATTATTTACAAAAAGAAATGTTAGTAGAAATTAAAATGTAATTATGAAAAAGCTTAATCTATGGGCTACTCAGTTCCTAGGGGGGTTTTTAATCTCTCTTGTGAAGCCTAAATTATAACCTGGTTACTTTCCAGTTTCGGCTTTCTGATATTTTGGTTTGATTTCAGGTTACTATTGGCCAACTGTACTCCACGCAGAAATTGGTTATTGAGAGTCCAGGAAACACATAGCTATGAGAAGCCTCTGATCCTGAAGCAACACTGGACCATCTTCAGCATCCTACAGTGCCACATACAGAAGCATAAATTCACTGCACACATCTGAGCTTTTCTGTTCGGCAGAAGAAATGCCTGAGAGACTCAGTTTTTGGCAACCAAAGTACTATTTTCTAGTGGTTCACACGTTCTAAGATATATGACTGTGATTTAAAATAGCATGTAAGATAGTCTTGAAATGTGTTTGCTTGTATGTTCCATGTGATGGAATAGTTCCTGCCCTACTTTGACAATAAAACTTCATTAAACTACCTGTAACCAGATACGTTATTCTGCTGCTGACCTCGTCTCTCAATGACCATGAAAAATGTGTTAGATTTAAAACCCCTCGAGATTCAAAATCCCTCACCTAGTTACTAAGTTCTTATTGATCTTGTTGCATTTCAAAGTATATAGCATCTGAATTAAATTACTAAGTACATATTTTATTTTAAATATTAAAACCAGAGATGAACAGAATTTTTGTCTCCTGGACCTTGATAGTTACAAATATCACAGGCTGAATTCTGTGGTTTCTTTGAAGAGGATCCCTTGACATTTCAGGAGGTGCCATAAAAATTTCACTAGTTCTTTCTTTAGTTTCCAAGAATTAATAATAGTCTTGTCCTAATTTTAACAGTTAACAGATCATACTAGCAGAATGTAAGACTTGCATTACTGAGGCTTGGGAGCTTTAAAATGTATTTTCACCACAGAGTCCTTTAACTTGTTGAGGTGCAGCTATTAGCAGAAAGCACCACATCACTTAATCTGAGGTTCCCTTTTTCTCAAAGCTCCTGAATTTTGCAGAAGGAAAATAACCCAACTATAACAGTAACTCAAGTGCTGTAAGTCATGAATTGACAACAAGCTTTGCCTAGCAAAAGTACTCAGTAGAACGCTCAGTATCGCATTTTATCGTTTATTATTAAATCTGTAGAATACCCAACACTTTTAAGACCGTACATTAAAACAAAAGCAAGCAAAATTTCTGATCAGGTTCTGCTCAAGTCATTGATGTGCCTAAGTTTGTTTTCTATGAGAAATGTGCAGAAAAATTAAGCACTGCAAAGCTATTTTAATGGCATGCAGAAAAAAGTTTCCTTCTATTTCAGTAGATTGTTGTGGGTTTTTTAAGTAACAGAAACTCAAAACTAGTTCCATGACACTGTGGCCTTTAAACCCCCCCTCTTATTTTTCTTGCTTTACAAAATTCATCTTTGTTTAGAACTTACTTTTTTTTTGTGTTCTTCATGTTCTGTGTTAACATTATTAAAGCAAAGTATCTAATTGTAGTGTATAATTTAGAATAAACTCCCATTCCTCACTGGAATGGGAAAAATTGTGTATTTTACAATTTTGTACAGTTAGATTGAAATGTATACTGATGCATTTCATGGACAATACAGTGTACAGAATAAAATACTATGTGTACCTAAGACTATAAATGTAGCCTCCATTCACACTTTCAGATAAGAGGCAAATACATTAACATTTCTCCTCTTATTAGATATATAAGTATTGCAATGTAAATTGCTTTTAATGAACATTTTACTCAAATTGAATTAATTCTAATAGGTAAAATGCATTATATTTTGCATTTTAAATCTCCGTATTTGCAAGTGGATAATTAAGTGCACTTAATGGTGAAAGTGCAGGGGAAGAAAGGTTTGATTGCTATTTAAGTTTCCACTGAGCTCACTGAAATGTAGTAACATCTTATAGTCTTAGATGACACAGGCTTGGAAAGACTGCCAGTTTTATACTGTAAGAAATTTGGTCCCTAAAACAGTACATGCAAAATCCTTGCTTAAAACAGCTTAATTACTGGAACAAGCACTGCATACCATTTCAAGATATGAGAATGTATGCTAGGAAGCAAAATAAACATCTTTATAAATAGTGTAGCCTTAACTTAGAAAGAGGTACAACTCCATTGATAACATAATCTAGGTTTTCACCATGTTTACAAAAAAGTAAGCATTTGGTTTTAAATAGAGGCCTTTCCAATACATAATCAGTTCTTCCAAAATACCAGTACCTTTCCAGTGAAGTTGTTTATCAAGAATACAGCTGTAGATGGTACATGCTCTCATATAGGCATGCAGCCATGGGAATATGAAATGTCTTATTCTTTCCCTCAGAAGTATGAAGGAGATTACTTCTCCATTAATCAGGCTCTCTAATTTCCCTCCTTCCCCAGTCAGTACTGCAGAGGTTAAGACAGCTCACTTTCTCAGACAAGGAAAAATTAGTTCTTATTCGAAATTAATAATCAGCTTATCATACACTATTTATGCATTACTTATTAGAAGCAACGCAAGAACGCTTCTGCTGCTACAGTCCAAAAGTCTGCATAACGCTATCTAACTTGTTAACAGAAGTGCAAAGCTAGCAAAGGTATTGGCATTTACTACTCAAACCCAACAGTTGTGGCATTTTAGATGATTGTTCCCTGTTTTGGACAGACCTGTGTGTTTCCTTTCCTTGTAACACACATTTAAGTGCATGCTCAACTAGTGTTAGTTATGTGCATACCAGTTGTACATGACTGGAAGATACCTATAAATATTATTTTTTCCTTGCCTGATGTCTATTTTAAAGAATTTTATCATAACATGCCCAGTTCTGTATAAAAAGATAGCTTGCCAAATGCTTTATCACTGAAATCCTACAAACTGGATGGAAAATATTTGCTAACCACATCTGGCTTAGGAAGTCTAGCACAGAAATAATTGTTGTAGGCTGGGATGACTTTAGTGTTATGTTTGTGTCCCCTTGCCCTGTTCTTAGGCTTGGCTAGGCATGTGCTCATTGTCACTGATGGAGACAGCGAACTGGAGAGCTGGCACTGTGGTCCAGCCTCGGAGTTGCTGTGCTCTTACAGCTGCACCTTCTGTGCTTCACCAGTTCCGTTTACGTTGCAATACTCATTAAATCTCTCTTGGCACGCTGTCAGAAGCTTTGTTGGATTTTGTCAAAGCAGTGTAAACAACAGGAATAGTTAAAACACAAAGGAATGGTCCCATGACTTATGTACAGTGTCCACTATTATAAAAAGTATATATTTTTTCCTTAGACTAGAAGGGAGCTCAATAAATATCTTTACTAAAGCTGCAGTGTCTTAACAAAACAAGTTTGCTTTTGTATTATATTAAAAATGTTTGTCTTTTCCTGATCTTGACATTTTAGCAAACTATTGACCTCAGCAGTATAAGCCAAAATTTGAATGTTTGCATATACACAAGTTTGTCGTTACTTTTACAGTATAAACTTGGAAACGGCACTCTGAAAGAAAAAAAGTAATCATTTGATTTATATTAGCAACTGTTCGAAGGATAGGCATTTCTGCTGTGTGTTACAGCTTCTCAAGAAATTTTACTCAAATAGAAAGCACGGTTTCAAAATACCCAGATATACCAGAGGTACAGATGTCCGGGAGGAGAGCAACCCAAGAGAGAAGCATGTGAACACTTTACATACGATGCTGAAACAGCCTAAGAAGGATTTTAATTTACTGCTCACTCTTCTCAAATGGTATTTCTGTATAAAAAACTTCACCAAGTTTCCAGGTCTTAAAAGCATGACTTTTACCCTCTAACATCAGCAGGTGGAATAATTTTATGGAGAAGCACCAGCCCCTCAACTTACTTCCTTTAATGCAATAAAAAACGCATCTCTCCAGATACACAGCACAGGCCATACGTACGCGTAAACAGAGCCATGAAAGAGCTGGGCACCTACTGTTTTCCTGAGTTTTCCATAATGATCTACAGTGAAACCCCGGCATTATTCAAGTCAGGACTATACTGATCGCTTTGTTCCACCATTCGTAACACAGGCAAATTATTTCATACTCTTAGGAATATTTTGTTTGACGACCTTTATAAAAAAAAAGAAGTAAGGTGTGCAGCTCTTAGTAACTGAGTGTTTACATTCCTACTTTTGTCAGTATTTTAGAAAATAAAAATAGTGCACGAGCCTTTAATGTGGAAGCAGGGAAAAAAAAAAAACAGATAGAGAAGCCAATAAGTCTTCCAAAACTGTGTATTTTCTACAAGTGTGAAAGGAAAAAATATGGAACTCGCAAACCTGTTTCACAAACATATGTACCTTCAAAAGGATTCTGCAGCTTACAGAGGAAATTAAATACGTTTTGCAAGAGATGCTTCTTTCTAAACTGCTTACCTTTTTTACTGTTAAACCCAGTATCTGCTGAACCTTTGCAAGAGGGGGAAATGATGGTAAGTAGTGCATTCAAATAACTACTCTTCTGTGTTGAGAGAAAAAAACTATGGAGACCTGTGAAGAATGTGCAGGCTTTCTATTGAAAGAGTACACTCCATAAATATTTATAACAGTCTTTGGCAATATGCTAATCCAAGGCAAGTAATTTTCCCTCTCTTAAAAAGAATCATGAAAAAACAATTAAGGTGATTTAATTACTGCCATGCATAGACAGCAGATTTTGAACTCTTGACAGATGAACATTCATCACAGTGCCATGTTATCCTAACCCCATAACACAAGACTCTGAACAGAATAGACAATTAAGCCTAGATCATTTCCCTTACCTTCCTGCAGTACTTTGGGCTGGATCCAAATCCCAGGGAAGCCAATGGGACTAGAAGCCAGACTTTCCAAGTACTGACTAAAAGCCCCAACTTTAAATAAAACAGAAGTAGTTTTCACACAAGTTTGCAAGATCTTCATGACACCAAAGTAAATTTAGCTTCACAGTCCTTTTCTGAATCATTTAAATCTGAATTTAAATGCAATTGTACATGGCAAAAAAATTGCTTAAGGAAGATTTAACTTTGATGTCCTTCACATTTACCCCTTTAGAGTTTCAACTATATTAATTTTTTTTGGTTTATATATACCTATAAAACCATTTGGCAGCTATTTCTCCCCTAAGCCCTTAATTCATGGCGAGGGGACAGAAGTATGCTTAAAATGAAAATCTTTGGAGATGGAGTTTTTCCAAAAGGGCAATAAATCTTTATCATTTCTTATTAAAGTTAGGGGAAGGACCATGTTTATGAACACATCCTCCAAAAGTTATGCTTCGAATCCTTATAAAATACATTAACAGTAATGCAACCAAACAAGAAGAGTGCTTCACTTAACAGTTTACTCCACTGGCCTTCTGATTTTATAGAATTAGAACTACTTCATTTTGAATATATTTCTTTGAGAATAGCGTTGCAATTATGCCATGTATCTCAACCTATGACCATGAGCAGCAGCCCCGTGTTTTGCTGGTGCGGGCTTGCAATCCTTCAGTACGCACATGGTCCGGTTTGGATTTTTACACTGCTGCCCAGTGTAATCTTTGGTAAAGCCTTGCATTTCCATAGCCTTCAGTAACCGTAGCTAGGAAAATACAGACAACTGTGTGTAGGCTGTCTCTGAAACCTTCTTTGGAAACCTAAGCTTCTATAAAGTCTTAAAAGCACAAAAATGTACTGTCTACTAAAACGGAGTATGCTTAATTCTCCTCTGAGAGGGGTTCCCCCCTTTCTTTCACAAAAAGTAATTACTTATAACAAATAAAAGCACTTTACCTGTTATCAAAGCACAAAAATGTTGTGCTTTAATTAACACGATTCGCAGGACTTTGGATTGGCACCAATTTTTGGAAGCACTCAAAAGATTTTACTGTTTAGCCTCATCAAGTACTTTCTTGCATTTCGAATTTCAAATCACGTGTCTGAAGAGCACACAGCAATGTTACATGTTCTGGATGTTGATGTTTCACACCCATTGCCCATAGTTTACAGCGTACCAGAGAACATTTTCAGCCCTCTATCAATAAGCACAGCTAGCTGAGATTCTTCAAGGTACCAGCTTTGCACCTCTGCCCAGATACAACCACTAGCATATGGCTACTCCTTTAAATTCTGTTTAAGGAGAGATCCCTCCCCTTCTTTTTTTGGCGTTGTTTCCTTCTTCTCCGAATCAATTAATAAACAAAGCACAGAACAAGGAATGGGCTCCTAGAATCCAAAGTAAATGAAGGATCAAACTTGACACTGTTAGCCCCACACATCAGCTTAAGAGCACGCTGTGTCATTGACTCAACAATCTGAAGAAAGGCTAATTCATACCAGATTATCCCATGTAACATCCTGTAATCCTGTAACGCACTGTAGATTTAAAACAAAGTTGTATGGGATGTAGTAGTTTGCTATTCTCCCTTAAAACCTTTCATGGCTTTGGCGAGAGTTTACACGTAAGTTGGAAAACAATCATACGACCTTCTGTTTGCCTGCACAGAGCTTTTCCTCTGTGCGTTGTCAAAGCAACTGGTACAGTCTAACAACAGGATGGTTTCTGAAGGAATTAAAACACCTCCTTGTCTCTGGCTGTATTCTCACATTGTGGTTTATGTGCAGGGTTTTTAGGGAGGAGAGAGGACAGGCTCCATTTCAGAAGCAGTGCGCACGTTAGCAAAACTGCAGGACCTTTAGTCTGAAGCCCCCTCTGCTTCAAGTCTTACCCACAATAGACACCCTGCTAGCTCTGGGTCTGTTCCAGCTATCTCAAAAGTCAGGTTATCTATAGACTTGAAAATATTTTCAAGTATGGGCAATTTTATAAACAAGCTATTTTTTCTAATGTTCTCATAATGGCCTTTAAGATGTTTACATCTTCAGAGGAAATGAAGACTTGAGAAATCTCTGTTTTAAAAAAGGAAAATAATATTCCAAAGTCTTACTGAAGAACATACATCTATGTCAGGACGTTTTCTGCATTCTGGCAATGTCTTTTCTGTCATTAAAAAAATTAACCTGTATTTTGAGATACTGTATCAAAAGAAAACAAGTGAGTCAAAGCTGCAGAGGAGCCAGAACAAAACTCTACTGAAACCCACTCCTTTTCCACCCATGCTCATGAAGCTTCCTCACATCACAGCTCTGCACAAGATGCCTGTCACAAGTGGCTGTCGTAGACTTCCAGGGCGATTTGCCTCATGGCTGTGGCAGGACAGCACGCATTTCCAGCTAGAGCCCTAAACATTGCTTACAGACAGGAAATGTCCCTGGTCAGAGTGGGGCACACCAACAGCGTGATCCCCTTGGCACCACACACATTAGGGCAGGGGCACAACCAGGTTGCAAAACCAAGTATCCTGTTACATTTTGCTATATGGAAAAAAAAAAATGTGTAATGGTGAGCTTTTTAACTTTTTTTAAAACTTTTTTTATTCTTACAAACCCATTTGCATTGGTACTTTTTGCTTAATTTCAGGACTTGGGACACCAGCAATAGTCAGCCTCCTCTAGGCTTGCAGTGCAACAGTGAAGACCGTAAAACCATTTCAAGTGTCCAGCGCTATAAAGTCCAGCTGTGTGCACAACAAAGTCCTTTCCCAGCAACATACAAATACAGAAAAATATGTAGCAAAATAAGCTGAATAAATTATAAATACTTGAGAAATGTGGTGCAAAATGTAACATAAGGAGAGCTGAACTAAGGCACTTGTTTTCATTCGTTACTGAGGACACCCTCTCTGTTATCGCGTCGTCACTCCTCAGTGAGAAGGTCATCCAAATCAGCATCTGCTCCCCAAATCTGAAAATACAGAAGCATGTATGAGACGGACACCATCTTGTACTTCACAGTGCATGACTCGAAGGTGTTACCAAAGTTCTCCTGATAAACGCAGCATCAGCAAATATTTAAACTCCTCCTTCGTCCCGGTTTTAGACTTGTCAGTTGTGTGGAAAGAAGTCACCAGTCTATTTTAAGCAAAAACATCTTTGCAGAAGTCCCTGTTGGCTGCTATTAGCCAGACAGGATCTACATGCAAGCCTGGGGAGCAGGGAGCAGTATCAAAGTGTGCTGAATGACAAAAACCAGAGCAGCCCTCTCCAGCCCCAGATCCAGCCCCAAAACAGACTGCCTGGAAAGGTGGGCCGGGCACGCAAGCCTGTCACGAGCTTGACAGGTGCTCACAACAGTGAATCGTATTGTTACAGAGTCCATTGAACTAAAAAAAAAGAAAAGAAAAAAAAAGAAAAACCACACCATTGGTGTTGCAGTACTATGTCTTTGAAATGGATGTGAGAACGAGAAAGCTGGGTTCCTAAGTTAACTTGTAGCGAACACGCCACCAAGTTTTCACGAGCTTGACAGGTGCTCACAACAGTGAATCGTATTGTTACAGAGTCCATTGAACTAAAAAAAAAGAAAATAAAAAAAAAGAAAAACCACACCATTGGTGTTGCAGTACTATGTCTTTGAAATGGATGTGAGAACGAGAAAGCTGGGATCCTAAGTTAAATTGTAGCGAACACGCCACCAAGTTTTCACACGAGCGCTGTTGTGCATCTCTGACTAATCGGGTAAGTGGAGTCAAGCCCAAATCAAGACCTCAAAAATTCACTTCAAGAGGGGAAAAGCAAAGCCCACGCTAC